TTTTTAAATCAAAACTAATATATACTATTCTCTTATTTATTATTAATTTTTAATTAATTTGATGAAAATGGACAAAATTTCAATTAATTATCATCACTATTTTCCTCTGTTTTCTTAGAAACCAAACCTTTGAAAAAAAAAAAACCCAACAAATTCTCACAAATCCTAATTTCTAAGCAAACCCAAAGCACCCAACATGGAAACATAGCAATGTCAATGTCATCACTCATTACCGCCAAAACAGAGATGAGAAGAAAAAACAAAGGAACCTGCAACACAACAACATTACCATCTTCGATTTATCATTCATGCAAGCTTAAGTAGATAATATATGAGCCATACTAGGAGATTTGGTTTATCTAATTTCAATTTTGTTTCTGTAATTCTAATGTTTGATTGCAGCAATGGAGACATTGGGGATTTGTGACCTAATTGCCAAAAGCCCTGAGCTTAAAATGCAGGAAATAGTTAGAAGCTGTCGGCAACACCAAGACCAAAAGTGCAGCAAAAAAGATGTCGAATTCCTGCAAACCTGATTTAGATCTTAAGACTTGATAGATGAAAATTTTTCAAAATAGTTCTAGGATTTGGGTTTGAATTATGAGAGTTGATTTGAAGTAATAGCACAAAATGCATTTTTAGAAGTTATGATTTTCGTTTGATTATATAAATATGATTTAAACTGTTTACGTTACGAAAAATATGATTTTGGTTCAAACCACTTTTATATACCACCTTTGTATGATTCAAACCATTTGCATTAGAAATAAAAGATAAAATTTAGATAAATTTCTTAAAAAAGAGTGGATAACTTTGGAAAGTAAAGAAATATGTGAGTTGGAATTTAAATCAAATCAAACGACTTTCGAAAGAGTTTTCAGTGGATAAATTTAACAAAAATTCATATATTTTCAATTAATAAACTGAATATGAGCATCTGTTTTAACAAATATCTTACCCTTATAAATATGGAATTTTTTCTTTTTTCTCGTCTTTTGAACATACGAATAAATCTCTATTATTATCTAAATAAAACAACTTATTTTGGTATTATGATTGCTGCAGAAATTCTTGTACAAAAACTATTATTTTGTCATTTTTTAAAGGGTAGTTCAGTGGTTGATCTTGGTAGTGCAAAAGCAAAATCAACAAGATGCTTCATTATATTTTACGGGTATTTTGGTCTACTCTCTTTTGCATACCAAATCTAGTGGTGGCAAAATTTTAACTAAATGGAAAGTGGCATTTGGGGCATGCCTTGAATACTTTTGTAGATTTTATACCCTATTTCTCAAACAATAAAAACTAATGAAAGAAAAAGAAGAATCAAGAGGAAGACGGAGGGGGAAGAATAAGCAGAAGGAGGAAGAAGAGGGGAAGGAAGGAGATGGGTGACCCAAGATGGTTACAAAGCACCAGTGCTGACTTCTTGGGAAAATGGAGAGTCGAGAGAAAAATCATAAAAGAGAAAGAGGGTAAATAATGAAAATTAAATATAATCCCACTTATTCCTAGGGGGTGGGATACATTTTGCTTAGCGGAGTATGAGATAGGACAAAACATGGGATAACAATTATTCGTTCGTTTGAGCTTACCAAACATGGGTTACACCAAGATCAGACAAAAATGTCTTATCCGATCATTTATCTAACATCTCATGCGTGCTTCTAAAATATCTTATTAGTTAAAATTTTAAATATTTATATTAGAAATTTTAAATTTAAATTTTATAATATATGTATAAAATTTTGAAAAGAAAATGATTATTTTTATTATATATTTCATAATCTAATGTCTAAAAAAATTTATTTTCTTATTAATTTGTAATTTTGTTTA